CCTGAGCTTCTTAGCCTGGGCGGCACAGCACTTGTTGTCGATCTTCTGAGCTTCAAGTTTCTTCACGAGGGCCTCATTCTTGCTCTCTAGAGTCTGCTTCTCTGCAATGAGGTTCTCCTCTTGGGTCTTGGTAGCTTCTCGCGAAAGCGCGTGTTTGTTGAGGTATTCCTGGATCATAGTGAGAAGCTCGGCATCATCTGAATCTAGTTCCTTGAGCTCTGCAAGAAGTTCCGCGTTCTCAGTAACAAGATCATAGTTGCTCAACTCCAGGTTTTCGGTCTTCTTAACAAGTTCTTCGTTCTCAGTGACGAGACTCTTGTTACATGACTCCAAGTCCTCATTCTTCTTGACCAGGGACTCATTCTTGCTGGTGGCTGCGACAAGTGATCTTTCAAGTTGGCGAACCTCCCCATGGAGCTTGACCTTGGCCTTCAAGTTAGACTCGTGGATGCTCTTTTTTGGGTCGAAAAGTGCTGTGTGGAAGAGGTCTGCCTTGCGCTGAACCACTTCTACGTCGCGCTGCAACTTGAGATTTTCCCGGATAAGAGATTCCTTCTCTTGCTCGGATCTCCGCAGCTTCTGCTCGAGCTCTTTCGTCTTCGCAATCCAGTGCGCTTCTCTTTTGGCAGAATATGACAAGAACGACATATTCGCATAAGCCTCAATGTCAGCCTCTGCGTTTTCAGCATCTTTCGGGGTATCTGTGGCTTGCGCTGGAGTTTCTGTCAGCGCAGGTGGATTGCTCAGTTTGGTAGGGTCAATATCCCGTCTCCAGTCACGAAGCACAATAGCTAGGGCACCATCATCTTCAACCCACTCTCGGGGAAACTCCAAATCTGAACGACGGCGGTGAGATGTGATTTCTATGACCGGGCTGAGGATTCGTGCCATTTTTAGATCCTTATCAGATACACTGAGGCCTGGGATCGGAGGCCCTCGGGTCAAAAAATGTGCCAGGTGCTGAATCTGTCTGGCAACCTTGAGGATGTCAACGTTGGCCCCTAAGTTGGGCTTCTCAACAGAAGCTGTATCCATGATGAGATGCAGGTCAGACTCAGATGGCTTTAGCTCTTGTGGAAAGAAATCTGGGTCGTTGACAGTTGTCACAATGTGGTAGAGAGTGTTGTGTTGTGGAGATTTGACATGGGTCCCCTGCCAGCCGAAGTTGTCTATTTATATCGTCACTTTGCATGTTCAGAAACTGTTGGTCCAGCCAGTGGCTAATTTAAGAAGCTGCCTATGAAACAGGCAGCAGCGTTTCCGTCATTCTCATATCTGCTGCCTATCTGGTACCGAACAAAAGGAAGCCATTATCCTGATATCCATTACCAGGCGGAAGGAATGGTCACCGAGGCATGGTTTACAAGTCGCTCTGGGTCTGGTAGTTTACTTAATGACTTACATAACAACTTACAGATACTGTATAGTAATTAATACTCGACTCTCTGGTCAGAGGTAATATTACGGTAAGGAAGTTGATATGTCGGTATTGTCATACAGAGAGGCTCGGGTTGTCTTCGCTTTATATACTTTCTAGGGTATCCACCGCTGCACACCATTGGTGCATATAATCGAGGACAGGCTGTCGGTACATTTCGGCTGAATGATTATAAAACATGCACAGTAGAACACACACGAAAGGAGATGCCCACGGCTAGAAGTTAGAACATAACCATCTCCTGCTCAAGGCGACAATAGCGCAGAAGAGTGGTATAACGAACAATCAGAAAAGGTGACCTTACCGCCTCCAGTTGTATTCCTCGCTACACATGATACACATTGTCAGTATGGAGCTCTAGCTACTGCGACAACTAGGCAGTCTTATGGATTTGATACATGAATGAGCTTTCTTTGCATGGTCTTTTCTTTGAAGTATCTGGACTAAACTTCAGTAGCTCTATTCACTAATTATAATATTGTTCAGAGAAGTGACCGAGAGTGATGCAGAAATATAGTTGATCTTTGATTACCGAAAATGATGCAATCTTCACAGAACACGAAGAGACTGAGTTAAGGGATCGGGAACATGAACATTTACGTAGCATTATGAACAGTCCATTGTCTTTACCAACACCAAACTGAAGCCTCTTCTGTTATAAATTCGTTCATGACCCCAGGACTAGGACTATGTCCCAGCTTCTCGCCACAACGATAAGCGACGCGACTCTTACCCTAATCACCCGAACAAACAGCGGTCTGACTTCTATTTCTAAGAAAAGCCTAGATCATGGATCTTAATGAACTTGTGGCCAGTAGGGCGGAGCTAGAAGCTGCAATTCGGGAAATACAGGGAAAGGTCGCACACCTCTGGCGCATCAACCACCAACAAGAGGGGAAGATCAAAGACTTGGAGAAGCAAAATGAAGATCAAAATGCCAAATTTGAAGCCACGAAGCACAAGCTCACACGGACTGAAGTCACGCTCCGGGCTCTTGAGGCAAAGGTTAAGCTCCAGAAAGCCCATATTGAGGATTTAAAGGAAGAGTCCCAACAGCAACAGGACGAGATCATGGCGCTGAAGACCCAGGAAAAGCGTGACGAGTCAAAGTATACCGCCAAGATCTCAGAGTTCAAGAAGGAGAACGCGGTTCATGCAGCCAAGATCGCCGAGTTACAGAAGGCAAAGACATGCGATGTCTCGGGTGTCAAAGCCAACTTTTCCTTTCTCCAGTCTAAGCTAAGGCGTGTTGAAGAGGAATGCGAGAACAAGATCACAGAGCTGAATATCAAGAATCTGAAGCAGAAGGTGAAAATGAGAGATTGCATCAAGGAGTTACAAAGCCAGAAGGAAGGTCAACAAGCCGAGATCGAAACACTAAAAGATCATCTGAAGGACAAGGAGGATCTAATATCTGAGCTACTAGACGCCTCGCAAACGAAAGACTCATCATGGGAAACTCAGTTATTACAGTGCCTTGCCCTACTAGAAACCCAGATCGAAACTCTAGAGGCTGACAAGCTGCGCCAAGAATCGAGAAGCCAAGAGCTTGAGACAAAGTATAGTGCTGAGATGTTCCGTCGTGAGAAGTTACAGCAGCAACTCAAGCTGAACCAATATGATGTTGACCAGGTACATGAGATTGCGCAGAGTCTTGAGTTCCACTTCAACAGCACTTATGTCAGATTCTCCGGGGACAACAAGCTGCGTACAAAGGCGGAACTGGAGGAAGCGTATATGGAAGCGCAAAGACTGCAGGATAAGCGGAGAGCTTTGGCCCTGGCGAGACGGATGCGTATTCAGGAGGAGGAGGATCGTGATAGCTGCGCTTACTCTGAGAAATGCTGAATTTGCAGACTATGTGGTTGGGATTGGCTGATTGCAGAGACGTAAGTTATCTTTGGGTTATGATACGATTGAATGATGATGTAGCACATGTGTATGGATGAGTCGCGACTACTCCTGGAGGGTAGCACGAAATGCATGAAATAACAAAATATGAGTATTATTCCTAATAGTCAGGTTTTCAGCTTTGAGAGCTGGCATGATCATTGGATGCCATGGGTAAATTCTAGTGATTGGCCACTTACAGCGTAATTATGCAAGCGCCCCTGTCCATGCCGCTTACGGGCCAACATCTGAATACGCTCGGTATTTTGGATACGTCAAATACTCGATACGCCTTGTAAAGCCAATACGCCATGAACAATCCACGAGAATTAGTTGTGCGATGAGATAATTGCTAGTTGTGCACGTATACAGCAGCCTCCTATTCTAGATAAATACACATGCGTGTCTCTTTCCAGAACAGTCCCTCAACCACCAGAACTAAACAGTCCCAACAGTATCAAGCCATTCTTTCGATCACATAGTCACCGAACACGCCCAAGTTATTCAATATGCATTTCTCCCAGCTTCTCATCACCGCAGCCCTCTTCACCCAAGGCACTCTGGCCGTCGGTATCAAGACCTACACTGGCCGTGACTGCACTGGCACGGAACAGACTCTCACTGTCGATCACAACGCAGCTTGCAATCCCAAAGTTCAGCGATTCCAATCTTACAAGGAGAACGGATTCGGACCGGGCAACGGGCAGAGAATTGCATTCTACGCTCAGCCTAGTTGCTCTCAGGAGTCCTTCATTTACGACACATACTCTAATAATGGAGATTATTTCCATTCTAAGCAGTGCTATAATATCAATGGCCATTCTCCTGTCAAGTATGCTCAGGGTGCCAAGCTCTACTAGCTGGGTATGTAGACACCTTCGGTTGTACCGGCTGACTGGGCGCTCTTTCTGACTCGATCCTGTAGAATAGACAGTTACCATCCCAGTCACCGATAGGACGAACAAGGGCAGTTACAGATCGTACAAGCTACCTGGGTCAAGCCGGTGTTCACCTAAAGAGGGCATGTTCTCATCATTCACAAAGCTACACAAAAGAAGAAGAACTGTAAGAGACTAGATCAACAAGGGAAATAGCTTCTCAGACAAAGGCGCATTCCTTTACCAGGGTCTTGGAAGGGGTTTCAGAATTCTTTGTTTTTCCTTAGCCATTGTTCAGAAGTTTAGCATCTTTACTATATGCGAATTGCTTTTGTCGAACGCAGATTGATGTCACCAACTAATTCTTAAAGACACTGAGTGAATGTGCTTTTACTTTGTCAAGCAGCTCATCATATGCTTTGACATCTTATTTAGCTAAGCAGAAGATCACTTACAACAGAAGCCTAATCGGATTGAACTCTATACACTAGAGAACATAAGTCAGGTATCATAGACTGTACTGTACTCAGCACTATTCTTGTCCATTCTTTTAACAACCATCCTTCCCGCCCACCCTTTGCAGGTTTTTCCCATTATGTATTCCATACCTTGATACTTCACCCTACTCCATCGCAGGTAACATGACCCCTAAGAAATCCGATTATTGCTCTAAGGGCCTCCTTTATTGTATTCTTCTTACCATCATTCTCCCCCGCGTCCGTAGTGAACTCTATTATGGATGACGCGCGCTGAAGAGAAGATAGTGCCCAACCTATGTCTTGGCAGTTACAGATCTAACACAACCCATCACCGCCCAAGAACTCATATGCATCAAAGAATTCATCCGCATGCCCAATTTCGTCCTTGCTTGAGTAATCACCTGGGGATCGTGATATGATAAAATCCCTCAGTTGACAGAATGATTTCGTCAGCTCTTCCGTCTTGTCGTAGCGGCTTTCATAAACCTCGGTTACTGTCATCCCTTCCGCATCCCTGGCATCGACATCTAAGCCCCTGAACTTAAGGCAAGACAGTGTGTCGAAGGTTCTTTCGTTACCCCGATAAGCCGCCACGTGAAAATAAGTTCCCCAGTCACCGGTTATAGTGTGATCAGCACCTAGCTCAAGAAGCGCCGCCTGCGCGTCGGTAGCATTGTCTCGAATCGCTACACCGAGCGGTGATAAGCCGTTGTCAGCTAGTGCATTTACATCGGCACCTTTCTCATATAGCAAGCGAACGGCATTAACAGAGTTGTGGCTCGCCGCATAGTGAATCGGGCGATTGCCACGCGGACCGACACAATCTGGCTGTGCGCCTTCTTGCAGCAACCTATCTATCATTGTGACATTATCATAGATAGCAGCTGTATGTAAGAGGCTCCATCCTGTGGGGAAAGCGTCAATTGCATTCGCGCCAGCAGCAAGTAGCAAGTCAAGTATATCAGCGCAAGTGTTTGGAGGTAGACAGGCAGCATAGTCTATAAGATTACGACCACCCGGTCCCTTCTTGTGGACTGAGGCGCCGGCTTCGATCAGAGCCTCGGCTGCTTTTGCGTCGCCCAGAGCAACAGCATACATCAGTGGAGTCATACCAAACCGGTCTTCACTGTGTATTTGAGCCATAATATCTGCATTGCCGGTCTCAAGTACGGGCAGCAAGTCGATTGGACACCGTTTAACGACAATCTCATGTATAAAGGTAAAATCCAGGTCCTCTAAGCACGGCGAAATTTGAACCAAGCCTTCAACTCGAGAATGAAGCATCGATGGTATGGTTTTTTGAAGAACCAGATTAGCAATTGTATGCCGAAATGAAAGCCCTCTCTCATTGACTTGGTCCGGATCTGCACCAGCCTCAAGAAGCACTTCACAAATTTGAAGCGAGAGTTCCCACGGCAAAAAGCTCCTAATACATTTGTACAAGGCTGAGTCACCATAATAGTTGACGTCCAGGATTGCAGTTGGATTTTCGTGTAGGATGCGTTTAACAGCACTCAGATTTCCAAATGTGGCATGATAAAGTATGTTGTCTCTGGTGGCTTGGAGGGGAATCTTTCGTCTCAATGCTAGAGTAAAGATCATAGAGCTGGCAGATAGTTTCTCCATCTGGATATAAATTGCGTACTTGAAAGACCAAAGTGGAAAGCCATATCTGATCTGGAGGCGAGTTAGACGTGACTTGGAACATGAAGGCAAGTCGCAGGTTGTTCTGGAAACAGGGCAGCTGGAAAACTTAAAAACTATTGAGCCCATGATCATTTGAAGCATTTTTGGGAGTGTGTTCCAAGGCCGGTATGAAGCAACAGAAGCATGGCATCTGCAGGTACAATTGATCGAGCACTGAGATTGCAGTAGTCTTAGGTTGAATGATAGCGTCAAGTGCTGAAGTGGCGAGCAAATGGCCTGAGGGCTCTGGCGTCTTTGAGATTGATGGGGCCAAACATGTGTGATGTTGTCCTTCGCTAGATCAGGTCTCGTAGTTTTTATCGTTGTTGCCAACTGATTTCTAATTGTTTCCACCCATTCTTGTGGCAACTTTGGTGTTGTGTTTTGTAAAGCCTCCAGAGCTGCGGCAATGTCTGACTGGTTTTGAAACGTGGTGTCTCGATCAATTGTGAGTTGATCTTTCGTGTCTAATAGACAAGTTTCCAAGTTATGAGCTTTAGCGTAGTGACGACGTTGCATAACCTGGATGTCCTGCAATACAAGTCTGATGCGAGTCAAGCTTGAGCTACATTGATGTTATTCTGAGACTGACTACACGTTATTCGGGGAACATACTTGCCATATGCCAATTGCAACTCGCTAATACGGTATCTCACTTCTTTAAGCTCGTTTATGAGCTCTGCTGCCTTCTTCTTCTTTTGAATCCACTTCACCCTTCGTAAGGTAGATGTCTCGTTCTTGAGACTGTCGATAAATGTGCCTAGCTCCTTCAGGACAGCCGCACCTTTGCCGATTTCAGCAGTGAGGTCACCGAGTATCCCGGGGCTACCTGCACCGCCAAGTCCCGCAGTTGCTGTAGAGTGTATTGAGCTTTCAACACTAGCAAGAACTGTCCTGACAGCTTCTGTCTCATTCTCTAGCGCTTGAATGAGATAAGGCGCGTTTCGCAATTGGAATTGGAGGTTGTGTAATGCATTAGATAGCTTCAACGCCAGGTCTAGCAGGCTGGCAACAGAAGCCACTAAGCCAATAGCTTCCGCCATGGCATTAACAGAGATGCTTGGGGGGAATAGAGGAGCGGCGACAGGTTTTGTATTGGACAGGAATGTGCAAGTCCTACGAAACCCCGCGCTTATGTCACGTGAGACTGGCGATTCTGAAGCTCCTTGTGACCGCCGATGTGCTGCCAATTATCTGTCGAAGAACCAGTGCTCAAGTAGTTCTACCAAGGCCGAAATCGTCATCGAAATTGCAAATACCAAGCTTAAAAAAGAAACCCAAAATAGAGAGCTTTAAAGGTACCATCACTGCATCAAACAAACTGGAGGAAGAAGTGTCAGGCCTTAGGGGCAAAGGCTCTAGCATCATTGGTCCACGGTGTTCGGATGCTTTAAGCTGCCTAAATTGTGTTTTTGAGATTTCAATCTTTTTTTAATAGACCTAACAACTAATAGTTGCATCGCGCGCCTTATACGCAAAGTACACAAAGCTACTAGCTACCTCGCCTGCTGAGAACAAGCCATGGGATGATGGCTTCTAAGAGATAGATCGAGCCAGTGAGAGGACCTAGAATGCACAGACAAGCAGGACGGTCAAAGCGTGCCCGAAAGACTGGGATCTGCGCACTCGCCCCTTTACTTCGGTTTCTATTTATGTTTACATACAGATGCAGTATCTCTGTCTCCATGCCCCTATTGAAAAGCATTCTTGCCTCGTCTGCATGCGTCCCAAACCTTAGACATCTATCCTAAACAATATAGAAATTTAGGTAAGCTTAGTATACTTTTAGATATACTTTAATAAAATTCTATAAAATTTAAGATTAAGGCCCTAAGCTTTCTTATACCCCTGATAGGAACTCGCAAATGTGACATCAATCGGTACTCTAAATTCGGTTCCACCAGCATTAAAGGCCACCAAAAAGCCAATTTCAATTCTCGACAGCGAAAATGAGTCAACTAAACCCTGTCGTCTTGACTACTGTATCAACTACTATCGCTTTTATAGCGATGATGATCGCCCTCTTGAGTTTGGGCTGGACAATCTATGCTAAGATGAAAGACTGGAGAATTGCAGATGAAGAAACACGCCGAAAGGACAACGAGAATGCTGCTGCCGCTATGAAAGCAGTTACTAGAGAGGAGCATGAAGATTTGAAGGAGTCCAGCTTATCGTGAATAGTGGTTCCAATCTTGGGACTCTATGAGACTCTTGGTTGCCTCAGTAAGCTTTTTGGTGGCCTTGGTGAGAGAGTCTTTCTCAAGCTGGTCGTTCGCAGACCTGAGGGCTCCGACGCCGTCGATGATGTCTTTGACCTTGCCAGCGTCGCACCGACATTGTGACTTGTTCAACTCCTGGAACTTGCCATCAAGTCCATTGAGCTTTCCGCTGACACTACAAATGTTATCAGACCATGATAAAGATATAGACATGAAATCCTTACTATTTGCCATGGAGGCGGCGCGCGATCATCATTCGATCGTGAGTGTCCTTTAAGGCTTTATGCTCTTTGGAAGATTGACTTTGCTACAGTTTCAACTCCTTGAGAGCATTGCTCAAGCGTTTTTCAAATCTTCATGCTCCTCTCTGGTAACTGCTTTCATGGCGGCAGCAGCCCAAGAGTGGAATCACTATGCACGATAAGCTGGACCCCGAAATAAAGAGCTTGTGAATGTTATCCTAAATAATCTAAATTTAGTCTAAGGCTATACAAACATCAAGTAAATTTACCTAAGCCTTTACAGTACTTAGGTATCGCACCTCAGCCTTCCTGTCTCTCGTTCAGCTAAATTCATTGTGGCAGGTAATACTAAGGACAGAATTACATGTGGCATAAAGTATAAGTGACATCAAGACTGTTAACACAGAGCCGTATCTACTACCTAAGTCACCCTCCCAAAGGTAGTTTCTCACCAAAGCTCACAAACAGGCTCTTTCTCAGGGCAGTTAAATGCCTTGTTAAATCCAACAGTATTCTTGAGAGGCAGCAGTACTCTCGCAGGTGCCGGGCTGTGCACATCGTCCTCCAGCAGCGTCAAACCTAACTCGGGCAGAACATTAGAGCACCAGGTCTGGCCCCATTTGATGAAGAAGAGCTGCTCATGGGTAAAGCCTTGCAAACCTGGAAGATTCTTGGCCTTGCCTTTCTCGCCTTCCCACTTCTTCCAGGCCTCATAGCTGGAAGATACACCGCCAGCATCAGCGATGTTCTCATCAAGAGTGAGGGTTCCGTTGACATGGACATTTGTACCATTGGGCGCTAGGATGGTGAAGTTGTTGTACTGTTCGATAAAGCACTTGGTCTTTTCTTCAAAGGCCTTGATTGACTTTTCATCCCACCATTCTGTGGCATTGCCGATGTCATCAAAGTTGCGGCCCGTGTTATCAAAGCCGTGCGTGATCTCGTGTCCAACGACGCTGCCCATTCCACCATAAAGCAGATAAGACGGAAATTCTACGTCATAGATAGGGAACTGCTGAAACCCTGCGAAGAGAACGATCTGGTTCAGGGTGCGGGCGTGGTAGGCGTTGGCAGTCAGAGTGCTCAAGACAAACTGGCCCCTGTTGTATGGCTTCCCCAAAGTCATCCAGTTGTTTTTAACCTTGGATTCTGCGAAACTCAGCGCAGTTAGGGCCAGAGCAGGTCGAATCTGGACATCTGAATAATATTCCTTAAGGGCAATTGGATCTACGGCATCAGGAAAGGTAGGAAGGCCAATGATCTTCTTCATCGCCTCCACCTTCTCGATAGCCGCCTTCTTGACCTCATCTGATGCCCAATCCCGCGATTCGATGCGTTCCGAAAAGGAGTCCTTGATGTGTTGCACAAGATCAGACGTAAGCTCGTTAGCCTCAGGGCTGAAGTGCTTATCCACGAAGAAGCGTGAGAGTATCCATGTCAAGCCCGTCGGGCCGATGAACTGCGATGTGATCTGGGAGCCTTGGGTCCACGCAACTCCGTAGTTCATCAAGTTGATGCAGCGTTTCCACCGGGGTAAAGGACTTTCGGGATCTCTTTTCCTGATCTTAGTCACCAAATCGTTGTACGCGTTGGTCAGATCGGCCTCGATGTAGATGGAAATGGAAGAAATGGCCTTCCACACAAAATATGCTTGAAGAATCGTACTCGGAGTCTCAGAGATAATCTGGGATGCATTGTTGAAATAGGCGGGTGCAATGAATTGGATGTCGCCTTTCCAGTTCTTCGGAGCAAGTTGCTCAATCGCATACTCGTAGTTCAGCTCGGGAAGTTGCTTCTGCGCCTCGGCAATCGAGACCAGGTCGGATGCTGGCCCGTTCTGTTCGGCATAGGTAGAAGCAGCCACTAGTTTGCCTTCTAACTCGATGACTGACGCGACTAGCTTAGCAGCCGTTGTCGTGCTGACATTAGAAGGGTGAACAGCGACCAGAAGCTGAGACGCGATCTTGATGTACTCTTCAAGATCCTGCTCCGTAGTGGGGAGGACCACCTCATCAGGCTGTAGAGGAAAAAGGGTCAGTTGGACCGCGTCGGGGTCGGTGTCTGCCTGCTTGAGTATGAACCGCTGGAACGTCTGAATGCCGACGCTCTCAAAGAAGGTCAAAGTCTTGCCCAGGGCAGCAGATGCCTGGGTTGTGTTTGCAGCTGTCTTGTTGCCGCCTGATACGGTAGTAGTAGGGTACAGATTGACAACTGTCTTGGCAATCTCCTGCAGAGTTTGGAGACCCTCTTCTTCGAGTGCTGTATAATTAGTGCAGACCTGATACGCATCTTGTATCTTAGAAAAGATTTCCTTGTCTGCTTTGGACTGTTCTTTAGTGAGGTTGACTGTGATCCATCCAGCGTCTTCGCCGGACGGATATGGACTCTCGAGGATCTGTCTCAAGGCACTGTCGACGTTTTCCTGTGCAAGAGTGAGTCCATCTGTAGAGACACCGCCCGCAGGAATCTCGTGTCGAGCAGCCCAGTTGCCGCAAACATCTGAGCGATGAGTTAGGCTTGAATTGAGTAGATGGGTGTGTGGTAGAGCTCACATTGTTCGAAGTCCTCGCAAGGGTCAACTTCGGTGTAGTTTAAAGCCAAACTTCCGAGTATCTCTGAAGCGATGTGCACACAAGATGCTGATGTACACAGATTGGACGCAGCCGAGCTGGGTGCCATGGCGACGGTATACGTCTACGCAATAGTGTATTCTAGGATAAAGGGGAGTGATGAGTGTGTGAAAAGAAGGGGCAAAGTATGTTTGACTCTGATTTCGTGGTGATACACTATGAGCAGTCTGGCCGATGATAGCACAACTGTATTGTCCTGTTCATACTTATATAAGTCCAGTCCACGACAAGAGTAGCATAGCCATCATGACGTCGTAGTAAGCAGCAGAGTGCTACACGTAGCGGGACAAAGCTGTGCAGGCGAGGCGGAGCTGAGCGGGCGATTTCACCCCAAAGAACAAGGGTAATTATGCTTACTGCATTAGTATTATCCGTAGCGTCTGGCCCGCTTTGTCTTTTGGAGACCTTAACCAATCGGACATCACAAGACGAATCGAAGATCATCGCCAAGAAGATCTCACGCGAAAATAAGCCTGGAACCAATTGAACTAGGCCGTAAAAGGTATTTTCTACCGCTCTCAACTCCGCTGGGCGTAATATTCTGACATCACTTGCTCTTAGAAGAATCACGGGCAGCGTACCTCAGCGGCGCAAAATTCCAAAGGCAGTAGGCGGTATAAGCTTCTTGGCGATCGCAAAGTGGCTGTATAAAACACGTAACCCGTGCTTGGTCTCACATAGAACGAAAATCTTTTAACTTAATCATTCTATTGGCTGTACGACCCTTTACTTTGTCTCTTCCTTATCCATAATGGGCCAGCAATACTCTCAGCCTAAACCAGGCACCAAGCTTCAAGTCATTGGCGCTGGCCTTCCCCGCACCGGGACTGCATCGATCAGTCGAGCGCTAGAGATTCTTCTCGACGGTCCCGTATATCACGGTGGGACACAAGCCTTTCTTGGCCCTGAAATTGAAATCAGGACATGGATCCAGGTGCTGAACCAGTGGCGG